GGATCTTAATCTTTGAAAGTGATGGGGTTTCTTGCATTTACGACTAACCCGTGCGGACATGGCAGTCTTTTAATGGGCTGACTTGGCTCGCAGATTCACCCGCTCTGACCTCTCGATCAGGGTCGCTCTCTTACTCTCGGTTTGTCCGTCAACCGGTGACCAACATGCAGCCCAATCCAAAGGCGTCAGCTGCACACCAATTGAACCAGGATGCCCAGTCTAAGCCCCTTGTCGCCTACGCGACGATTCGTGGATGACATTCCATCGACCGAAGGAGTCCGGCCCACCAACCCAACTGCATACTCGCTGGACTCGGCTCCGTGCCCCGCTTTCTCCCTCTCAAAGGGTGGCCGGCTTCAGCTCGCCGGCCAATCGGACACCTTCGGAGGGGGCACTTAAAGTGTCTGTGGTGGATTCGAGCTCGGTTGGTACGGCTGACGCCCACCGACACACTCTAACATGGTTCGGATTCGTATGCATTTTCAGTTGGTCCTCAATTGCACAGACCTCCTTCGGGGCTTGAACTAAGGCTTCATGAAGCCTGGCCACTCTGTCGCTTTGGTTTCTGCCCAATCCTGTTCAGCAGACGGAGAGAGACACCACGACCTTTAGATTTGTTCTGGTGGATGTCCATTCACATGATTTGGCTACTACGTTCGTGCACCCTGTATGTGTGTGTGTGTGTGTGTGTGAGCTCTACAAGAGCAGAATAATCCCTTAGTAAATTGTTGTTGCTATACGCGTGATTTGGTTAAAAAAATCGAGTTGGAGTGACCGGTAAATTACCTCCACCGAACCTCGACAAAGAATATTTCGGGAATTATGACTGAATTTATTTAAAGAATTCGTCGACACGTAGTCCTGCTATTCAAATAGAATATGTCGAATTTTAGGTATGAAGACCAAGATGGTGGTCGCAGTCTCCTTTCGTTGTATAAAAGTTGGTTGAACTTGTTTTCGCAATGTGGTCATATTGGTAGGAAGACTTAGAGGTTGTAATATGGTGCTACGAATGGCGAGACTCACTGACGATGCCGGCGAAAGGTCTGAGAATATACCACGTCCACGGTTCTACGCTGGAAATGATGATGCATACAATGGACTCCGGGCAAGGTGTGTTTCTCTAAGTCTTCCTACCAATTTGACCGAGTTGCGAAAACAAGGCTAAACGACTTATTTGTAAATGAAGCTTTATGGATCTTGCCACCACCGCAAAGACCTTCTTGTCCGGTTTTGGATGCGGTCAATTAACGAATAATGTATCTTCGCCTTTTCAGACGAAATGATCTGCACAACTGCAACAAAGCTTCCCTCGCACGATTGGAATCGTCTAAGGAGAAGGTAATTAGGCCTAATTAACTCTAGGCCGGGCCTTCGGACCGTCTTGACAGGCATTTGAGGCCAGATCTGAAGGCGTGTCAACAGACGGTCAAGCCTATTCACCGCTGGGGATCAGCTCGATCGGACCATCAGGACGGTTTTCCACTAGTCTGAGCTCTGCAGAGCCACACACGATGAAGGTGGGACTTGCCCCCAATTAACCAATTTCGTGAGAATTGCTATTCTCTACTCTCTTCACTGCAAGATGGCCCAATTTGGGCATAAAACAAAGAGCATATCCTTCCTCAGCCACGCAGTCACAGCGCCGAGTGTTCTTTCCTCTGACCTCAGTCCCTTTTATTCTGTAACCTAACCATACCACCTCCCCTACGTTGACCTTCAGGTGAGCCATCTTTCGTCTCTTTTCGCCCACCCTCGGGGCTTGGCTTCTCTGAAAGTGGCCAAGTATGGCCGTCTTCTTCGTATGGACAGCAAGCACAAATTATGAGCAGACGGCGTTTACACAAGATCACTTTTAGTCCATCATGTAGAACTTATTTTCCTCCATCCCACCTTCATCTATCCTTCTCGATCTTTCCATCTTTCTCCTTTTCTCTCCCACACTCTCACTCTCACTCTCACTCGCTCGCTCGCCATTTCTTCAAAATACAGTAATTGTGCCCCTGTAGCAAATGGGCGTGGGGTGATCAGCCTAGATTGCTGACCGAGATCTATTGTTCTCTTTTGTGGACAGCACGAAATGACCCTTACATCTGCATCTGGCCGCGACGTCGCTTCTGACAACTCTCGTCACCAGATGACCACAGCAACCGAACGATAAGTAGGAGGAAAAATAGTCTGAACGCAAATCGGAATGAAAGTAGTCTGATTGGCGAAAGAAAAATGAGGGTAAGAAGTACAGATTAGTGCTTGTCGAAGTACCAAAATTACGTTCATCTTACAAACGGCTGAAGTCCCCTGCTGTAGATACCGGCCGTCGGAGACATCCCTCTGACAGTCTGTCGATATTATGTAAATGAGAAACCCTCTCCCGACGTAGCCATTGGCACGGCCATAAGAGAGCCGCGTAGAGCGATGGGATATTCGCGTTTGGCGCTATCTTAGCCAATGAAGAGTAGTAAGGAGTAGATAGTAAAAGGATAAAAATATAAAATGGTCTCAGTGCCAATCTCATTCAATCTGAC